TGTGTCTTAAAACCTGCATTCTATGTAAAGGCCAGCAGGGGGAGCTCCATTGGCTGCAATAAAAACCGATACCATGCAGTCTTATGGAGAAATGAGAACTTCTCACTTGATTTATGAGCTCAGTAAACAGTTTCCAAATGAGTTTATGGTCTCAATCACCAGTTTCACTAGTGTCTTCCATACAGGATGATGTTCATTTGATACATTAAGCATGGTATACTGTGTGACTACCTTGTGAATGACAGGTCATACTCAGTGAGTCTGTGCAGCTCAACGCACCAAACTCAGATCAAACTGTCAAACTAGACAGTGTTGATCAAATATGAATGCCACTGGCTCTGACAAACTGTCATGGCAACGACCATAACGCCAAACTCCTTCAGGCTTCAAAACGACCAGGTACATCAGAGATTCTTCTTCAATAATATAATATTCAATATGAACTAATGCAAATTAGACTGTAGCGTTTCATACAACTATTATAATCATAATTTAAAGAGTAATTTAACATCCACTGCAAATCTTGTCCTTTCTGACCTCTAGTGGTTTCATCTTGCTGCGGTGATGTACAGGTGGACCCAGTGACATCACTGATGGGTGTGGTCAGAGATGAACTGTGTTCAGCCTGGTGTTAAGCTACTCCTTAAGTCATTTATCCAACAGAAATACCGAACAATTGCTCCGCAAATGCGAGCATGTGCTTCTATTTTCTGAGAAACAACAAGTCATTTTAAGACACCACATTGGGTGATAGAGTATTTCCTGGTATTTTCTACAACATCTGTGGTTCCAAATCTTTTTTTGTTTGACATACTGCTATTGCTATAACCAATAACCTTAAGTACTTCTTTATTGACACCAATTGTCATGTTACTAATGTGTTTTTAGGAAGTGATTTTCAGAACTCTTTCTTTTTCAGTAGGTTTGATCAAGTTTTCGTTTATACAAGAATATATCTACATAGACCTCTCTTCTTGCTTTCTACCTCGTTTTCAAGCTCTGTCAATGGCATCACATGGTGTTCAGGTGGTACAACTCACTTTTGTCAATGCATATCTGGTAGTTTACTGGTTATTGTGACAATAAATATACTAAAAATCCGCCTCAAGCCAATTTGTTATCCTGCTTTTGAGTTTATTTTCCTCCTAAACATAAATGTGTGCATAATATCAGAGCTTTCAAATTAGCTGAGCTACAATGGAAACAATCTTTTCACGTGCCACCCGTTAACTGCAGACGTTTGCCTGGTTGGGAATCACTGCTCTGGATAATGAAGAACTTGCTGTGATCAGTTTCTACTGGAACTGATTTCTATGGAAGAAATTGTTCCTGTGAAACCTGCTGACAGAATTTCCTGTGGATTTCAGAGTTTCAGCGAAACTGTTAAATGAAACAGGTGTTGCTGCTAATTATTTTTTAATTTAAAAATGTTTGTTGCAATTGAGCAAGTCTACTAACTAAACCTGTGTGATATTTCTCATAACCTTAGCTGAACTGAAACCATCTGCATAGCTAGATACCACTACAGGTAAGTGAGAAAACATTGTCTTGTCTTGTTTTTTTGTAATTTGGGTGAACTGATCCTTTAAGTGAAGTGATTGGGGGCGGGGGGGAGGTGCTGCTGTGCTCATTTGTGCCGCCTATGTGTGAGGATGGAGGGTTGGTGGCCGCCCTCTGGTCTGGTCTGTGCTGTGCGACAAGGCCTTCAGTGCCATCAGCTCTGGGGACAAAAGAAGGGAATCTCTTCTGTCACAATATGGCTCGTGGCCTTTCAACTCCCCATCTGTTTGTGTGACGCTCACTCGGGAGAGCTGACACACACGTTACAGTGACACACCCGTGCACGTACGCACACACACACACAGCAGGGAGAGATCAAATGCAAACAGGGAGCGTGGCAGAAACTGCCAGCCCCGCTGATGGCCGTTTGCAGAGGCAGTGAAGTAGGAGTAATGTGGGGAGAAAGCAGGACGAGCTCCTCCTGAGCTGCTGGTTAACAATCTGCATTGAGTCTGATCCGTGCTTGTTATCGCTGTGCTTTTTGCGACCTTGTAATGCCGCTCTGATGTTTGTCATCCAGCTGCAGTTTCTTGCTTTATGCAGAGATGTTTGATGCCTTGCTTTTGTCACCATGAAAAATCACTGTTGTCTTTCATGTCTGATATGACAACTATCTCCCTTGCAACAAAAGTGGATTTTTTTCTCCCCTCATCTCTTTCCATGTGAGAAGAAACGTTTTATTTTCTGCAGTTAATGGCTCGTGAAGGGAGTTGTGAGGGTCATTGTTGAGCGATTCTGTGAACCACGGCCCCACAGAAAGTGGCTGACAAAGACTTGAGAAACTTCTGTCCTGACAAAGATTAATTGTTCTGCTTAGGAAAAAAAAGCCCAAGATGGAAAAAAAGGATAAAAACCATTGATGACAACTTTTACAGACTCCAAATACAGTAGACATACTCACACTGTTATGCACTAAAGATGAATCATGCCATTCAAAGAACAAATCAATAAATTTCACGCCGATATGGCCTCAGCTATGAGAGGCGACAATGAAACCATTTACAACGTAGCAGATGTTTCACCATGACAACCGGTATGATGATGAAAACATGTCTGTGGGGTTATGTGGTGCCGTATACAGGGTCAAGGTTAGATAACAGGGGCGTCTCTGCTCTCTCTTGTTCTGTCACACACATTTGGGCAGTGATGTCATGATTTAGGACTTTTTTTTTTTAAGGAGCCGCATTGCTGGTCAGCGATATAGCACGTTACATTTTGCACAGTGGCTGTTTTTGCTATAATTATCACTTGAAAGTGGAGAGCGAGTGTGCAACATGCTATTTGGAAACGTGATAGAGGCCCAGTCATTTTCTGGGAGTCGCAGGGAATTCTCAAAGAAGAGTACAGAAGAGTACAGTACTCCTTGTGCGGGAACAATGGGAGCTTTGACGAAGAGTGCGGTATCAGTAACTCATTGACTCGCTGTGTGTGTAGAACATCAGTACTGAGCTGCTGTGTTGAAGCTGTACATGTTGCTCACTGACACGTGTTGTCTTTATGAAATGTGACAGACAGAGAAAAAAGAATGAAAATGCCCAATTGTCCACATACAGAGACGGAAAACACACTGAAGCCTCCTGTGCCATCCAACTTGGTCATAAAACGCTTTTTAAGTGGTTGTTACCCACAGAGCAATCCCAAAAATTACACATAATTACCAAATTATAGTTTTGTATCAGTCATTATGCCTGTTTTCAGGACATTGGATTTTTCTAGTCATGCTTTAGGTGAAGAAGACAAAAAATTGTGACTGGCAAGTGTGGGCAAGCTCACCTGATCTCCAGGATGCGGTCTCATCAGAGATACCTGGTCGTACCCTCTCCTGAACAGAGCCCACAGAGCGTCTAGCTTCCCCTGGAGGACACACAAAGAAAAAACTAATGCAAAAATACACTTATTTCAAGTAAAAACTCAAAACACAACCTTAAATATACATTTATCTTCTATGTACATTTAACTATAAGACTAACCTTGATGGGTGAGTACCACCTCCTCTGCTGTGGGGCGCGGCGGGGTGGTTTTCGAGGCTTGGGCTCATAGGGTTCAAATTCCTGCTCTGGCATCTTTACAACTGCATTTTTAGGTTTGTCCAGCTTGGCACCTTCCTCGGTGGACCCCTTCTCTCCCCAGCGCACCTAGGAAAAGCCTCATTAAATGTCTCATCTTTTGAGAGTTGAACGTGTGTGTGCATGTGTGTGTGTTTGTGAGTGTGTGTGCATGCGTACCTCCATTCGTTTGATGCCACCCACTCCTCTTCCTCCATAATAGGATGCATCCACTGTGGGCCACCTCTTTTTGGGCATCCCATCTTCATCATCTGAGTCCTTTGAGTGAGATTCAATTTCATGACACAGCTCATATAATTCTAAACATATTACTATAAATTTTAAAACTGATATCACCACATCAATAACAACACTAAAGTAATATTACTGCATTAATCCCTGTATTTAAATCTTACTGGTTCTGGGGGAGGAGGCGGTGGAGGTTCTTTGATCACCTGAAGATTGAAAAATAAAATGTCAATAAAAGAAACAAAAATATAATCAACAAGTGACCTCAAGCTGAAATTCTGATATCTAAGTTCAAACTTACCACAGTGCAGCAGAGAGGCCAGAACCACCACATTAACAGCAGAGCCAACAGCAGGAAAACCACCAGCAACGATATGAGCACGATGGTGCCGTCGAACTACCCAGAAACACAGAATGGCAGGGTTAAGATTAAACTCCACTAAAAGATAGAAAAAGGCGAGAAAAAGGTGAAAATGAAATGCGAAAGTACTCACAGCCTCCTCTGATGGACAGACACAACAGAGGAGACGTCAGATAGGAAGGAAAGAAGAGGAAGAAGAAGACTAGAGAACCAAGAGAAAAATAAGAAGGTTGAAAGAAAGTTTATTCAAATAAGGCAGCATGCCAGAGGGAAATATCAGCATGTGCTGTTGTGATAGTGCAGATTATATATACACAGGATGTACTCACACATTCAGTGGTAGTGATGTGAACAGAGCTTGTGATGTAGGAGAGGCCCTCGTTCATGCTCACCTGCAGGTAGATCACCCTGCAAAAACACAAACTCGTGACTGGTTTGATCATCTGACACACAAATTCATTCACATCACACACCTGAGTGCACATCTGCTTGTGTGCACACAGTCACGGCCTTGTTCCGGGCTACTGTAAGAAGCTAGCCCGAAGTGTTGCATACATTCCTCCATCCACTTTGTCGATACTTGCTGCTTTATAAGCACACAAACATGCTGACATAGACACGAAGCCAAAGCCTTTAAGGAGGTCAGGGAGTTCTCCACCCAGTGAAGGAATCTCTTCTGTTTGGATCAGACCCAGACTTCTAATGTGGAAACCACAGATGGCTAAATTACTTCTTATTCTCCAGTATCCAGAGCTGATATCTGGAGCTATCGCTGCACAAAGATAGGCCCGGGTGGGGACAAGACAGGAGAGAAAATGTATAGTTTTTGGTTGGGAAGATGATAGGATAGTGGTGTTGATGGAAGCAAAGGCTGTGCAGGATTGAGGTAGCAGAATATTTAGTTGTGACAGGCTATTCATAAAGCTTCTAAGAAATATGAACAAAAACAAGACATGTTAGCCAAATAGGCGGCTAGGGGTGGAAAAGCAGACAGCTGGAGTGTAGTTATAGGCTTGGAAAAGAATGGAGAATGGCTTCTTGTGCTGTTCTTATGGTTTGAGGGGGGGCAGAGACAAGGGGGGCATTGAGCTCTGGGTTTAGATTTGAGGAGAGGGGCGACAAGGGGGAGGAGGTCACTGCAGGGTGGGAGAGAGGAGAGGAAACAGAGAGTGGGGGGATGGTAGGAGGAGGGCTTTTCCTGTTCTACATCCCTTCAGCACTGTCCCTCCCCTCCTAGACCCCCACTCCACTTCCTCAATCACTGACTCTGTTTTCGTCTCCTCGTCCGCTCCTGTATCCTCTGTAAGCTTGTCTCATAACTCATGCTGACACTGACTTTAGAGAAGGAAATTGGCGGTGCAGGTGCCACTCATCTTTTCTTCTGCTTCTTCCCTCCCTTTTCTGCCCCCCTCCCCTCCTCCCCATCAATGGGTCAACCCTCCTTTCAGGCAGGCAGGGGAAACGGTGCTATCAGCCCCTCTCTGACAGAGAGATCTCAGCCCCTATCAATCATCAATCTGCCCACTATATGTCTTTGCCCTGTGTCTGTGTGCTTGTGTGTGTGTG